GTGGGAAAGGTGTTGCAGTCCCACTTCACAGTTGACAAAACTGAGGTTCAGAACATGCAAGTGACATGCCAAAGGTCACACAGCTGGTGAGTGGGGGAGCCAAGGATCAAGCTCAGAGCACCAGAAGGCAAGTCCAAGTTTCTTTCCCCTAGAAGTACCTTGCCTGATAACACTGGATTGACTGATTAGTAAATAATCCTTGTTGACTTATCGTAAAAGCTTGTTTCGCCAAGTCCTGCAACATCTTCTCTGTAATTACCCTATTTTCTCCTAAGGGGGCTAATGGGCTTTCCCAAGACTTGCCCCTTTCCCGGTGAGATGGGATCTGTTGGGGCACAAAGGCCAACCTCAGGGACACAGCAGTTTGCTCTCTCCCTCTTTAGCTCATTCTCTTTCTTTTTCTTGCTCTCCTGTCTCTTTGCTCCATCTGCTTGTTTTGTCTTTGACTGATCCCCTGTGATGAGTTGTGCTCCTGGAAAGCTGCCCTGTGACATTTCTTCTCTTTTGTGTTCCTGATGATAACATTTCCCTGGAGGCTCTTAAAGAGAAGAAGGAAGTGAATAAAGCATGTTGTGCCCTGGCAGTGCCATCCAGCGACAGAGCTTGATGGTCAGGCTGAGGCTTTGAGTATGAATCTTTCCTCTTGTACGGTCTCTTTCTGTGTGCACACATGTGCAGGTGCGTGTGCACGTACACTGTATTGTTTAGAACAGGCAGTGTTATGATTAAAGCACTGGATCCTCTGGCCAAAAGGGAGCTCAGTCGTGATTCCTAAGGTTGATGTGCTATGGGCTTCTCTTTGTAGGGTCCTCTGGCAAGCTTGCTGTTGGTTTCCTATGGCTTCTGTAACAAATAACAACAAACTTAGGGGCTTGCAACAACACGGATTTATTATCTTACAGTTTTGGAGCGCAGAAGTCCTAAAATCAAGGTGCTGGCAGGGCTGTGCTCCTTCTGGAGGCTCTAAGGGAGAATCTGTTTCCTTGCCTTTACTAGCTTTTAGAGGCTTCCCTCATTCCTTGGCTTGTGGCCTCTTCCTCCATCTTCAAGGCCAATAACATAGGTTCTCTCTCTCAATCCTACACTCCATTATCACTGCTCCTCTCTGACCCTCCTGCCTCCCTGTCCCCTTATAAGAATTTTTGTGATTACGTTGGGCCCACCCAGATAACTCAGGGTACTCTCTTTATCTCAAGATCCTTAACTTAATCATACCTGTAAAGTGCTGTTTGCCATGTAAGGTAACATGTTCACCACTTCTGAGGATGAGGTTGTGGACATCTTTGGGGGCCATTATTCTACCCCACTTGCCAAGTGAAATGGGAACATTCTTTCTTTCTGGGCAAATTCAACACCATTTCTTTGGGAGACAGTAGAGCACGTGGGCCCTGAGATAAACTGTGCAGATTTGCACCCTGCTCTACCCTCTCTTCTTAGCTGTATTACGTTAGGCACATCACCTGGCCTCTTTGTGTCTAATTTCCTCATCTCTAAGATAGGCAAATAATGTAATACAACTTCATTTCACTGTTATAAGTCATGAATAGTGCTGGGGTGATAAAACATGTCACCTGCTGAATCATAAGCACCCAAAATAAATGGAAGAGGCAATTATAACTAGGATGCCATATAGCATAATAGTTATAAACTTAGAGGACCTTCGTTCAAATCCCAGTGCCACCACTTATGAACTAATGGGCTAGTTGTTTTAGGCAACTGAGTCTCAGTTTTCTCATTTGTAAAATGGAAATAAAAGGATTACCATCTTAACACATAGGATTCTTGTGAGGATGAAATAACAGCATGGTGCACACAAGTCACCCAGAACATAGTAGGCAGTTTTGTTATAGTTATTACCACCATCGTCACTGCTTGTCTACTCTGGGGGTGATGGAGAGTCTTAATGGGCTGCCTCTGGCCTCAGCAGAGCAAGGACCGGACAGGGCAGCTTGCTGAATCCAAGGCACTGAGAAATCCCTTTGCAGTGCTCCATCCTTGAGAGGACCAGAGCCTGGTTGGGCTCAGCCTTGGGGTGTCTGGCTTCCAGGCATCTCCCTGCGGCAGAGCTGTCAGAGCTTACAGCAGCAGCTGGTTCTTTGAATGAAGAGTTCTCCAGAAGCTCTCAGAACAGAAGAGGGGTTTGAAGATGGTGAACAGGGAGGTAGCAAGGCTGGAGGCAAGATTCCCTGAGAAGGCAGAGCTAGTTCCTAGATGGCATGGTCACCAGGGAAGGTGCAGAGCTCTGGTTTCAACCATATTATTACTTTTTAATTTTGCTGCAAAGCTCTGTTCCAGTGAAGGCTTGGGCAGCTGCCCAGTATGCAAAACATTTAAAAGCACAACTGCTCAGGTTGAAACCAGGGGTGGGGGAGGGGGGAACTCAGGCCTCATTTACACTCCAACAGGGGCCTCTTGGGTGGGGGGGGTGGGTGGGGGGGGGGGTGAGGGGGGCGGGCAGTCTGAGGAAAAAACTAGCAGGGTGGCAAAAACAGAGGCCTTGGAGTCAGACAGACCCAGGATTTGCATCCCTGCCTGTGCCTCTCCTTGCCTGTGTGAGTTTCAGGGCTTTCCTTCACGTGTCTGAGTCTCAGTCTCAACAACTGAAAATGGGACAATAATAGCACCCATCTCGTAGTTATGAAGACTGGAAGTGGCAACTGTAAGATGCTAAATACAGGTGGTAGGTGTCTAGACATTTAGCAGGTTGTAGCTATTTTCATTCCCTAAAGGCGATCTGAATTCATGACAGACCCTCCCAGAACACGTGCCTAATGCCAGGGAAGCTGTGAGGTACGGGTAGAGATTCCTTGGGACTGGGAGCCAAAAGGCCTGGAACTAATCGGATTCTGATTCCACCACCAGCATCCTGTGTGGGCTTCTTGAATCACCCTTCAGATGTTTATTGAGGGCCTACCATATTACCTGACATTATGCTAGACACTGGAACACAGGACCTGGCATCTGAAAAGCCTGAGTTCTAGACTCAACTCTGCCACTTTCTAGCTCTTTGGCTATGGGCAAGTCACTGTCCCTCTCTGGTCCCCAGTTTCTCCATGTGTACAGTGAGGGCATTGAACCTATGTCAGAGGATCTTCCTAGAAAAGATTCAATGAAGTCCTGCCAAAAAATTGTAGAATGCATTTGAACTTGACTCTGAGAGAGACATTCTGAAGCATGGGCTTTGGAATCATACAACCCTGGGTTTCAATCCTGTGTCTGCCACTTACTGTATAAACTTATGCAAGATAATTAATTTCTTGAGTCTCAGTTTCCTCATCTGTAAAGTGGAGATAATCATAGTTCCCTCAAAAGGTCATGGTGAGGATTCAAGGAGATGGCACATGTAAAGTTCCTAGCAGAAGGGCTGGTGTGTAGTTGATTCTCGATAAATGATAGCTGCCATCATCGTCACTACCACCAGCATCGCCACCACCATCACCACAAGACCATCACCACCACCATCGTCATGATCATCTATAAAGTGAAGCTCTAAATGGTCCCTAAGATCCTGACATTTTAAGTTCTACTTTTCAAGGTGGGGAGGGGGATTAAGTGACAAATGTGGTGGCTCACCCTGGGCCATCTAAGTGGGACCGTTTAGAGGAGGGTCCCCAGTAAAGAGGGTTCTTATTTACTTTGCAGAGAAGTTCTAAACAGATCTTGACCTATTTGAGATTTCCTGCCCTTTCCTCACATTAAGCAGGAATAAGACCCTTGATATCTGGAACATTGGAAGCCATGGGAATCAATTTCTCTTTGTATATTTCTCCTTTTAATGATTTTATTTTCTTGTCCATATAGTGGTTTCACTTCAGAAGATGAATCTGGGTCTTTTGGGGATAGGTCTTTGGCTATGGCTCAACTGTCTGATTTAGACCTTCTGTAATCTCCCAACTTCATCCCACTCAAACCATAAGCTGAAAGGTGAGGCTGGCACATACCATTCTGGATTGGCTGTCATTTCCTTTCTCCTTTTGTCAAGACATTTGAATCACAGGACAGGTTATGGATCATGGGATTATACCAACCCACAACTTGGGTGTTCTTATTGTTGCTTTTTAACTTCTTGCTTCCTGTCTTGAGGAAAATCAGATAGTCATGTGCTCATTTTGCAGATAAGACTTGGAGACGTTCAGTGACTTTTCCAAGGTTGTATGGGGGCTAGACTTGGTTCCAGAAACCTGTAAAGTGCTATTTCAACTAAGCCATTCTGCCCCATAGAAATTTCCATTTCCTAAGCCTCATCTTCCTGCTCTGAATTCTGAGGCATCTGAGGTATAGGTCAGAAATCTGCAGCAATGTGGGTGAAGACAGGTCAACTGGGCTGATTTGTGGGGTGGGGGGAGAAGCCACTTTGAGGCTCCCACACTGGGGTCAAACTCTTTTCTGAGCAGAGATGAGCAGTGAAGGTCTGGGGGCGTGTGTGGGAAAGGGGCTGTGAAGTTACAGCTTCTTTGCACCGAGAGTGAGCGACAAGATTAGAACAAGTGTGTGGTAGGTAGGCTGTCACTGACTTCACTGTGTGATGTTGAGAAGTCCTGCCCCCCCCCACCTCCCCTGGACTCTCCCCCTTTTCTGCTCTTACCATCCAATAACTTGACTTCGAAGCCTAAGGGTTCGCTTCCCGCCCATCCCATCCGCCGCCGCGTTTTAGCGCTGTCCGCGGTGCTGATCGCCAATCTCCTGATTGCCGTTTCGACCAGCTAGGATCTCTGGTGCGCCCAATCTCTCCTCGCGGCCTCCTACCTCTCTTTCTCCAGGCACCTCACACTTAAATCACGGGTGGAAGGCAGGCTCGGTTCCCCTTGCGCCTGGAAGCTGCTGCCCCCTCCCTTGCTCACACCGGGTTTTGCAGCAGTGGCGGCAGCTGCCACTGATTCCGGCACTGGGGAAGCAATTGATACGTCTACTGCCAGCAGCGCGGAGTCGTCTACGCGGACGACAGAGAGAAACAGGAAGAGAGAGAGAAAGAGAGGAGAGAGAGAGAGAGAGATTGATTCACAGAGCAAAAACCTTCATCCATGTGGAGGGCAGTCTGAGGGAGCCACTGTGTCCACTGAGTGGTCTGAGTTTCCTCCTCTTCTGGCAGTGGTATTTCTTTTCATCATGGACCTGCATGATTTAGGGGTAGTTGGGGTGTGTGTGTGTGTGTGTGTGTGTGTGTGTGCGCGCAGTTGCTTCGATTTTATTTTGGGAAGAGTAGGAGAGTCAAATGAACAATTTTCTTTCAGGCATCTCCGCTGAGCTTTCAAACCGAGTCATCCGGAGTTAGCATTTTCCCACCCGGCAGGGAAGAGAGGAGTTGGCAAGAATTTGGCTCACCCATTCCCCCTGCAATCCTCTGGTGTCTCGGTAAGTGATATTCTTCTCAACTGTGCAAATGGGCTAGGGGTATTGGAATCCCAGTTGCGAGGAGATGTGTACATGAGCTTGTGGGATAGAGGGCTGGTGGGAGGGGAGGGATGTTGAGGAATGACCACGTTTGTTTGCCCACATTCTGCAGTGTTTGATCGCCTAAGCAACACCCCAAAGCCAAATGAGATTTCTGCTCACTGCCCAGGGTGAGGGTAAAATATGCTAATGTTTTAGGTAATGCGATCAAAATTGTGGCTTCTGCCCAATTTGTCTTCTCCCTTGCAGCAGAAGCTGTTGGAAGTAGCTGGCAGTTCTCTGAGTGAGTTAACCCTTTGTGGGGCTGGCCAGCCTGGCATGGGGGGGGATCGCTGGGTGTTCTGATCTAGTGGGTGGGCACTTTGACTCTGGATGAGAAACGGTCACCTAAGGCTGAAGGGTTCACCCTTGCCTAGGGTAACCTAGGCATAGCAAGTGAGTCTTGCATAGGACTGGGCTCAGAGAGTACCATCTTCCAGGGAGAGCTGAATAATTTAATTGTGGTGGTTTTTTCTTTTGCAAGCTTGGCTGTTATAAGCTTCCTGAAATGAGAGAACTGGGAGACATGAAAGGACCACATTTTGCTTGGAATGAGTGGTCAGGCAGGCCAGAGGGGAGCAGTCAGCTGTCTGCTGAGCAGACAATGTTTTATTTTCACAGGTGGTATAACCTGTAAGTGATTGTATAGAGGGTGCACCAGCCCAGGGGACTTTATCCTTGAGTCTGTCTCAGAGTAGGGAAAGAAGGGAACAATGTTTGTTCAGATTCTGGGGAAGGGCTTCAGGCTCCAGGCTCCAGCTTCAGATCTGTTCCAGGGCAGACCCTACCCTGCTCTAGTTTCTTTATTCTGATGGAATAAGCCTCACCAACCTGTTAGTGAGTGGGAAGGGGAGGTCCCTTGTAACTGAATCCAAAACTCACATTTAATTTTAAATGCCTTTGCTGCTAATCTGTGACCCATCAAAAGGGGATTTTCTTTGCTTCCTGCTTTGATTACATCTATCTTTCTGGAAATGAATGTCCTTATTTTTAGCATCTTCACTATTATCTCATGGGCCACTTCAGTGTTCTGCACCCCCAAGGATTTCCTCTTTCAGTTCTTGGTCTTGGAGGTGGGAGGAATAAAATATCAGCCCCAGGGCTTCCCTGGTGGCACAGTGGTTGCGAGTCCGCTTGCCGATGCAGGGGACACGGGTTCGTGTCCCGGTCCAGGAAGATCCCACATGCCGTGGAGTGGCTGGGCCCGTGAGCCATGGCCGCTGAGCATGCGCGTCCGGAGCCTGTGCTCCGCAACGGGAGAGGCCACAACAGTGAGAGGCCAACGTACTGCAAAAAAAAAAAAATCAGCCCCAGAGACTGGCAAGTGTAAGCAGAGTCCACTCAGTCATTTTCTCCAGCCCCAGAGCCAAGTGGGGACACCAAAATCCCAGGGCATATGACTGCTCAGGAAAGATATGTGAGGCAGAGGGGGAGGGATGCTTGGTGGTTAGTACCAAAGATTTGGTCCTCAAAATCCTAGGCTTTCCTCGTCGGGTGACCTTGAGGAGGAAGTTGCCTTCGTTTCCTCCCTGGGAAGCCTAAGTGTGAAGGATGAATGTGGGGAAATTTGGTTCAAATCAGGAGCCACGGATCTGTCCATGGGCGATATTTAAAATATTGAACTTTCTATTAACTGGTCAGACTGGACCATGGCTGGGGCCCTGGAGTGGGGGATCTTAGGGGTCCCCTGCTGTGCTGAGTGTTAACTCTTTAATTGCTGGATTATGGGGAGGTTTAGGGGGACAGGGGAGTATCAAGGGAACCACAGGGGCCTCAGTGCAATATAACCATACAGTGCAGGGATATTAATATATATATATAATACATTATAGAAGAATATTATATATTATATATTAGGATATGTAATATATATATCTAATATTCTAATATATAATATGTAGAATATATAGAGTATATAATATGTAGAATTTATATGTTTTTATATATCTATATATAGATAAGTATAGTTGACTTACAGTGCTGTGTGAGTTTCAGGTGTACAACAAAGTGATTCAGTTATACATATATATTATAACAACTGGTTCAGCCATGCAGTGCATGCCAGCCCACCTGAGGTAGCTGGGACTGGGCTGTCCACACGTGGGTGTTTTTGAACATCTACTTGCTGCCTCCCAGCCTTACTTCCTTGGGGGTGGTTAAGATCCAAGAGGCTGCCCTCCCTCCTCCCTCATCACATTTGAATTGGTGCATTATGGTGCACCAGGGAAAGGGAAACAGAATCTTCTGGAAGGAGCCTTGGACTTGGATCAGGAGACCTGGGTTCCAGCCCCAGCTCTGCCCCCCCTTTCTGGGCCTCAGTTTCTCCATCTTTGCAATGAGGTAGTTGGTCTATGTGACCCCAAGGCCCCTTCCAGCTCTGAGGTTCTATGACTATGTGATGAGTGTGCATGTGTGTGCACACACTCACGGTTCTAGGAATGGTTAGCACTGTGTTTGGGAATTTATCCTATGTGTTGAGGAGGTTTTGTTTGGGTGAGTCAGGATGGGGATCAACCCTCCGAGAACTTTGCTAGTTCCTAGAATCCTGTGCTCAGCTGGAGAGGGGTCTTCTTTGTTTATGGCTTCAGTTGCGTAGGCACCCAGGTTTGGCAGCACTTGCAGTCCTTATAGAGATTTATCCCAGGGAGACACCAAGGACCCCTTTGAGAACCTCCACTCTGAAAAGATGCATATACCCTATAGCCCACCTGAGCACCTCAAGTTCGGAACGTCTGATCTAGTCTGACCCTTCACGGGCCCCAGAGAGGGAAAGCAACTTGCCCAAGACCACACAGTAAGTCATTCACAGCAACATAAAAGACAAGGCATTATGCTTTCATTCCTGGCTCCAGCAGCCCCCACTCCCCCCACCCAGCCAGGGTGCAGGGGGAGGACTTTCAGCAGCTCCTCTCCATCCTGTGCTGGTAATCAGGAAGCATAACCGTGGAGACAAATGTGGACATTTCCTTTCTCGCTGGTGGGAGGGAGGCAGCGGCCAGAGATTCTGCAGTCCAGAGCGGTGGCCTGGGAAGTCAGTCTCCCCAGCTTGCTCTGCCTTTTCTCTTTTCTTGCTGCCTGTACACATCCTGGCTACCTGTCTAAGGCTGTGGGTCTGGTTAGGGTGGTTTATTTGTAGGCTGTGGTATTTACTTTTATTTAACCCTCTCTTTCTTTCTCTCTCTCTCTGTGGGTCATAGAGAGTTTGTAACTTTCTAACAAAAACCACCATGACATATGGACCTGTCTTCTGTTCTTTATCGCCTTCAAGAGGGGAGCTGATCATGAATGCAGACAAATCAGAGTTGATGTAAAGGCGATGAGAAGCGAACAGCATGGTTTATTTCTGTTAAGCACTGTGGCTGTAACCTGGGATAAAAATAAATCTGGGACCCAGTAGTGGTGGGCTGGAGCCGATGAGCTTAAATTATTCAGCTGCCACCCAGGATGGAGATCCTTGATGTGCTGGGAGAGTGAAGGAGGCACCACAGAAATAGCCCCTTCTCCTTCCTGTTCCCCACCCCTGTCTGCTTCATTAACAGCCTTTTTAGCCTCCAGGGGCTGCAGTGTGGGTCCCTGGGAGCAGCCAGACCTGAGTTTGAATCCTGGCTCCAATGCTTCCTTGCTGTGTGACTTCAGGCAAGACCCTAAACCTCTCTCAGCCTCGTTTTCCTCAGGTACAGTATGGTGGTGAAGAGTGTGGGCTCTGGAAATAGATCTCTTGGGTTTAGATCCTGGTTCTAACACTTTATAGTTATGTCGTATCGTCGCTCTGGGCTTCAGTTTCTCCATCTTTAAAGTAAGGATAGTAAAGGAACTGTGAGAATTTTGAGTTAATGTTTGCAGTGTGCTTAGTACTGAGCCTGGCAAGGAGTAAGTGTCCAACAAATGTGAGTGATGGAGATGCTGTTGGTGATGGTAACAGTGAAATCACCCCGACCAAAGTACGACTGGGCTAGGATAGAGGAAGGTGAATCCTTTGTGCCAGGCATACAGCTCTGGGACCCAGGAGAAAGAGGACGTGGCTTGGAGACAGTAGACTTCCAGTCCCACTATTCCGTATGTGGTCTTTGTGCAGTTGCTGAGGGTCCCCAGACCTCATTTTATTCACCCATGAAATGGGCATAATGACCTCCTTTCTTTAAGCCTGTGAGGCCCTGAGGAAACAGGGCAGTTGTGAGTGTGGTGGGTAGGCCCTGGAGGAAGGAGTTCAGGAGGAGAAGCCCTCCTGACTACTCTGAGTCTTTCGTTCCTCCAAATCCTTGGGAGGCTTTTGCTGAATCATCTCAACTCACCAGCTCGGAGCCCGAGGATTTTTCCTAGGAGACCTGAGCTTTCCCTCCCTTCCCTGCTATGGTGCTTTCCCTGCCACGATGCTCCTGCATACGGCTCCTGAGATGCTACAAGGCGAGATCCTTGCAGGCCAAGGCTGTGCCGTCTTCCTTTTTGGAGTCAGATTTAGCACACAGCAAATGCTCAGCAATGACTTGCATGAATGAATGAATGAATGAAACCTGGATTGACTAGTGAACTGGTCAGTTTGGGGAGGTGCCTTTGGCCTATGGTCCAGCAAGAGAGCTGCATACAGTAGGTGCTTAGTTACTGTTTGTTGATTATGATGAGTCATTGGTGAAGAGTTTAAAAGGGCTTGGCTTTCATCTCAGATCTGCTACAGGCAAAGGACTGGCCTCTCTCTCCTCCTGTCAAGAGTGTTAATTGACATTTATTCATGTGTCATACATTTATGGAGTACTTACAGTATGCCTGGTACCATGGCGGGCATTGGCAAAAAATAGTGACAAAGACATAATCCCTTTGGGACTTAGATAAAGTAAGCAGCTGCCTACAAAATGTGATCTTTTGGGGGGCTGGTACAAAGAGGGCTTCCTTTGTCACCCTAAAGCACTCAGTTCACTGATATGTGA